AGAGAGAGAGAGAGACAGAGATAGATTAAGAAACCATACTCTGTAACCACATGATTTTGCTATTTTTGAAACAGGCTAACCCTAGCTTTGAAGAACATATGACACCATCCCCCTCTCCACATAAAAGGCAATATGGCAGCTGGCAGCTTTTATGATGTTTTGTTGTTGTTGTTTAATTCTCTTACTAATAATGCTAATTAGCTTGTCACTGTAGTTTGTCTGCCTTCAAAGAGAGTTACATATAGTGGAGAGTACTAGTTATAAACGTGTGTTCCACAAGCTAACACTGACCCGTGCACATCGCTGACATTGGCAATGGGAATATTTCACATATAAATCCAGATTTCTGGTCTCTCTCGATAAAGCACAGATGTCAACAGTACCTGGGGCTGAGAGGTACCCCCATGCGCCTCAGTCCCTCCTATCCTACCTCATGGCCCAAGTTATTTCCGGGCCCTTATAGCCCTGTGAGTAAGAGACCCTTACACGCATTCCACACTATTTCATGTAACAATAAGCAATTAACAAGGATTGATGAAGCACCTACTACATGCCTGTCTCAGTCCTGGTTGTTCTCCTAATCCAAAAGCAGGAAAAAACTCACTCCTATGTTTAGGGCATTTCTAGTCTAGCTCGGTACCACCCAATAAATCCTCCAGTCATGTGAGACTACTGAGCATTGGAAATGTAGTCTGTCTGAATCAAGATGTGTCAGAAATATAAATACACAGTGGATTTCAAAGACGTACTCCAAGGAAAAGTAAAGTATATCATTAACAATTTTTATATTGATTACATGTCGAACTGATAATATTTTCATATATTGGGTTAAATATAATCTATTAACAGGAAGTTCACCTGATTCTTTGTAGTTTTCCATGTAGCCACTAGAAAATTTAAAATTGCATAATGTGATTCCCATTATATTTCTGTTGGACAGCACTGGTTTCCTTGGTGAATGTGTGTTCAGCAGAAATCTATCCAAACTCCAAGAAGTTGGGGTGAAATATATTCACTAATAGAAATGGAACATGGATCTGAGTAGATGAAATGTGACTAGATCTGTGTGGATTACCACACAAGCCTGAAATTGCAATGGGCTTTCTCTGTCTGTTAATCCCTTTCCGACCCCCCACCTCCTGCCTCATTGCAATGCATTGGTGGTGATGATGTCACATGACTGTCTGAGGAGCATGGGGAGGGGGAGGCAGCAAGGCTTAGGACTTCAAGACTGCTGAGAAGTTATGTTTGTCTGGGTCCTCTGAGAAAGCAAACCCAAGATGGGATTACATATGCAAGAATTTTATTAGGGAAAATGCTTGTGTGAGAAAAAATAGGGAGGGACCCAGAGAAGGTTGGGAGAGCTGTTTGAGCAGTGGTGAAAGAAGGTTGGGGAAAGCGTGCTAGGCTGCCCTGCAGTCTGAAGAAGGTTCAGCAAACAGCGGAGTCCTGGAGGCTAAGTCGGGGGTCAGCGGAGTCCTGTGTCCCCCAGGAATGGGGCTGCCGGAATCCCTGCTGCACTTGGTCATTGGCTAGGAGTACCCCAGGGAGCGTGGCCTTGGCAAAGACACATCAGTGGGTTTCACAGGGAAGCAGCTGGGGTCTATGGTCAGCTGTGTCCTCTCTAGGTGGAGGTCTGCAAGAGCGTTCTCATGGCTGTCCCAGAAGCCAGCTCCTGTACCTGTCAGGCTGTGAGTCAACCTAGGAAAAGCATGGCCAGGATATTCCCTGTAAGAGAGCGAAGGCTTGAAATAACCACTCTTTTCTCTCCCCCTTAGAACACCTGCACCTTGACCTGGCCACACAGGCCTTGTGGTCCCATCCTTGAATTATCTGTATGACTACCCTCTGAAAACTGTATGTAAACAGACATATAGGTCCTTAAAGAGAAAAGAGCACCTCCAAATATATTAATTATAGTATGAGTTGAAATGCTGAACAAGCTTGCAGGGAGCAGAGTGGGGGTTTGAGCTAAAACTCTTAAAGGTCACTTCCAATCCCAATAGTTATACTTCTCTGATTGTTCTCGGGAACGACTCTCAAAGGTGGAAGACTGTTTTTCAATAACCTTTTCCTCTAACTATAAAAGTAAAATGTGCTCTTTGAAAATGGAGAAAATATATTTTAAGAAGCGATCACTCCAAATCCCACCACAGAAATCACCATTATTAACATTGTAACATTTTTTCAAAGCACATGTGTATATATTTTAACTTATTTACGATCGTGCTACATACACAATTTGATATTCTCTTTTCTAGTATAATGTATCATAAACATTTTCCCATATCATTAAAAATTTCTTAGCATGGTATAAGGATACATCTGTGAATATTTCCTTATGATAAAACCTTAGAAGGCTAGTACTTGCTTGGCAAAGGCATACAAACTTCTAATGCTTTTCATATATATATATAAATTACTTTATCAGCAGCATATGAGAGTGCCTATTTCCCTAAACCTTCCTCAACTCTTGAGAGGGTAATTTTGAAAAATCTTTGTCAATTATATAGGGAGACAATAGCATCCTATTTTTAATTTGAGAACTATAACATTGAACATTTTAACTTATGTTATTAATAATTTATATCTCCCATTTTGTGAATTATTTCCTTATATTTTTGACCAGTTTTCTATTGAATTTGTGTATTTTCCTTATTGGTTTGTAGGACTCTTTACATATTAAAGGCCTAACCATCTATTTGTCAAATATATTGCAAATATTACCTTAGTGAGCCATTTACTTTTCAATTTTGTTTATGATATTTTCTAATATACAATTGTTTTATGCATTGAAAAGTATCAATATTTTCCTTTAAGATTTCTTCTGAGATAAGGCTTACCTATTTCAATATTATATAAAATTTTAACCTGTGTTTTTTTCCTTCTACTAAAAAGAAAAGTGGCTTTACTTTTCAAATTGAAAAGTAAAGTCATATTCTTTGATTTTTTTTTTTGGTCCTATCCTTTCCTCCATGCTTTCTTTGTTCTCTCTCTTCTCTCTTATAATCAGTTCATATGAGGATACCCAGTGGGTGATATCAAGAATAAATAACTCACTCGATAAACAGATTTTGACCCCCACAATTTACAAAGCTTTGAGCAAAGGCTTATAGGAAATGTGAAGGGTAAGCGAGTACCAACTATAGCAACTGTCACCATAAAATTATATGCAATCTGCAACAGAAGAACACAAGAAAAGATGTTCAACAAAATTAGTCATTAGGGAAATGCAAATCAAAACCACAGTGAGATACCCACTAGAAAAGCTAGAACAAAAAAAAAAAAACAGGCAATAACAACTATTCATGAAGATGTGGAGAAATTGGAACTCTCCCATGCTTTAAGGTGATAAAAATGTTTTAGAAGTAGAAAGTGGTGATAGTTGCATTGTCATGTGAATACACTTAAAAGAATCGAACTGTACCATTTACAAAATGCTTATCTGCCATGTGAGTCAGAATTGGTTCACTCCTATAACACATAAGCCAAATCTCAAAGGCTTTTAAGAAAACCCCAAACTTCAATAGGAGGAGGTGGAGGAGGAACAGCTCACTTCAGACAAGGGGGGATTTTTGAAATCTGCTCAGAACAAATGGCATTTAAGCCAGACCACAAAGAACATCTGATAATATAATAGTAACCGTTTGCCAAGCATCCATATGTGCTGTGTACATGTGCAGGATGCCAGGCCTTTATTCCTAATTCTCCATGTACATAGCATGGCCCTTTTGCTGCAGATGAAGAAGCCAAGGTTCAGAAAGGTCAAGTTGCCTTGCCCACGGCCACAGAGCTAGCAATGAGGTAGAGAAAGAGCAAGGTTGGCCGAGAGGCACATTCTTGAAATGTGTACGGGTTTGAGCAGTCTACACAGAGGAGACAGGTGCCAGGCACCAGGGTAGGAAACGGAATATGGATGGAAACCAGCGAATCAGCCAGGTAGCTAGGCCATAGACCAGTTAGTGGTTGGAGCTGGAACCCGTCTGAAAAGTAGGCAGGTGCCAAATTATGTGTGGTTTTGCGTGAGTGACAGAGAAGTGTAGACCTCATTTTGGACTCATCACAGAGCTGGAGGCTTGCAACCTGGAACAGGGTTTTCGAGGAAGGACTGTGCTTTAAAGAAAGGACTCTGACAACAAGGACAGTGTACAACCAGAGAGCCGGGAGTCAAGGTGACTTAAGAGTCCAGCAGAGGGACCAAGGTCTGGATTGCGATTGCAGGACTAAGCAAGGAGGAAAGGGGGAAAGAAATCAAACCACCATTCCAAGCTGGTGAAAGCATTTTAAATGTTTATGCTAATGACTGCGTTTCATTAACACTAGGCATTTTGCATAAGGCAAAGCTGACCTTCCTTGACAGCTATTTTGGACCAATTAAGCCAACTGCTGAAGGATGGAAATGCTATCATGCTCCAAGTCTTCTAAGCCACCTTTGCTCTGTAATCTCCTACCTCCATTAATGAGTGCATTGTCTTCTGGCTAGGAGAACCCCCAGGAAGCTTCTGATTAACCAGCAGGTATCATGGTCCGACTAATCACTAATCCTGTTCCCCTCATTCTGGCCCCTCTCAGGTATAGAAACCACAATGGAGAAGGTGAAAAGTATACTGGGGCTACTTACCACTCAGGGGATTCCCGAAGATACAGTGGTTCTTTTCTATGTCCAGGGGCTCCCATCAGTATGGTGTAATCTAGGCACCAGGTCTAACAGCGAATTCCAGCTCTGTCACTTATTAGCTGGGTAACCTTGGCTTTGCCCCAATAACCGTGCTGTTCCTCAGGTTTTACATCTAGAAAATGGAGATATTCATAATAACAATACCTTCGTAGTATTTTAGGGGTTCTTCAATCAGCTAAAACATGAGGGGAGTTTAGAAAACTTTCTGACTATATGCTAACACACCAAAACTATTTGAAACCCTTGTTTTGGAGTTTCCCAATTCTTTCCGAACTCCCGGTTAGAATATGATCTGAAATTAGGAGGTTGTTTGTATCTCTATGGCAGCAATATTTCCCATTATCTCTTAAAAATTTTAATTCTCTATAATTTTATCTATAATCAGCCTATAACATCAGAATCAGTACAGCTTCTGAAAACTAATGTAATGAGAGGTAATAGCTCACTAGTTGTTTTAGGGGTCCTTGCTTAATTATGGTGAAGGGAGCTGCAAATATACTCCTTAAGTTTATCTCTTCAATATCATTTCACTTTCTGAAAGGGAGTAGGGGAAAGAGAGGGCATGTTCAAAGAGGTAACGCTGAGATAGAAATAAAAATAACGGGGATTTTGTTAGTTTCTGCGCTGTCTGTCTCTCTGTCTCTCTGTCTCTCTCTCTCTCTCTCTCTCTCTCACACACACACACACACACACACACACACACACACACACATACAGTTCTTTTCTTTTTTTTCTTTTAGCCACATTCTTCTGTCTGTGTCATAGCTGTGGAAATTTCTAGTTATCAATATTGGCTTTCTATCATTACCAAGAGCAGCCCACATAGCAGCTTCGTAGCAACTTCATTACTACCCTACCTCCAAGGCTGGAGGATACTGCTGCCTGGCCTGAGCGCTATAGGAACAGGGAAGCCTTCGGTTCTCACAGAGCTTACGATCATTGGAGACACAAGACCAACCTGTGAATTTACGATGCTATCAGCACATATAAGCTGGAAGCAGGACAATACTCCAAGCCGATATCAGTGAGCACCAGATGACTTGTCTGTTACACCCACAGTGATGGAGGCGCTGTGTCACCTGGGGCAAAAGAGCGCTAACGTCCACACTAGAGAGCTAACTTCTGACAGCTGGGCAAGTATATGAACCTGAGAGGAAAGGGAAGCAGACAGCCTCAGGGGCACTGCTGACCCCACTGGGGTGTTTGGAGTTCTGCTGCTTCTCCTTCATCCTTCTCGTTCACCTATGGCTGAATCTCACTCCTTGGTTATGGGTTCTTAACACTCCTAGGTTCAAATGACTATATTTCATCTTTTCATCTTCTATCTACCCAACTTTCGAAAAAGAGATAAAAGAAAATACATACCCCAAGGAGAAACCCAAGGAAGAAATAAACAAAAGTCAGAGCCATAATTTTCAGGTCTAGAAAAGCAGGTTACTCAGAGTTAATTCACACATCATGGAGAGGCCAATTAGAATCATTAGCAAATTGTTAGCACTGGATTTAAACTATCTGCTCTGACTTAGCCCCATAGCATTCAGTAGGAGCTGTGTGGGGTCACTAGAATTAACCATTATAAACAAAATACATAAACAACCATCATTCCACAACTGCTTATTGGGCACTTTACTGCATGTGCATTGTAACCCCAAAAGGAAGATTTGGACACACATACACACACACACACACACACACACACACACACACACACACACACACATCCATCTAGTCCAAAATCTTGATGGTGGAGCTAACATAAAAGATCTGAGGTCTTCAACTGTGTAAGGCTATAAAATCTTAGCAAGTGAGGAAGACTGTGGGATACCCCAAACGTTCAGGAACTCAGAAGCAGGGCTGCTCGGGTAGCATATTTCAGAGTGGTAC